CTCTCATAATAAATCTAACAATTTAAAAATTGGTTCTATACTGAACGATGCAGAAAATTTTATGTGATATACGCATTACTCAGACAGAGACAATATACGAGTGTGGCGTCCTCTTAATCCGTCAAGTTGTATTTATTTTTTACTAAACAATAAATAATGAATGTTTTACTCTAATTTTTTTACTCTCTAGGCCCATTCGTACCACAAGTCACCTTGTGTCTATTCAATGCAACTCAAAAAGGCAATATTTTATGGTATTTCCAGAGTGTTTGCTTTCTTAATTTTCGCATTATTTGTTACGATCGCTATTATCTTGACTTATTAACACTGTATATTAAGCTAAAATATTTCAGTATTTCTAGGCTATAAACTTACGTATCTTCATTCTGTGACTTTAAAATACGTATCTAAATTTAAATTTGTATTTAATAAAAGTATATATAATTTATTTGAATGTTTGAAGTGCATTTTTTTTATGAATGGAAACTATAAAAATAAATTATCTAGTGTATTGACTATTAAGTACATAAAATACCCAAGGTAAATATAAAACAACATAAAATAAAGTACTTAACATCATTTAACTGGAAACTTGAATGCTTACAATTTTTATATTTACATATAAAAATTATAACAATAGAAACTTATAGTACCTATTAAAGAAATTTAGAAATTTAAAATAAAATATTGATGCATTAGTTGTATTTGTATAAGGATTTCATCTTTCTGTGTAATATGTATAAATAGCATAATGTATGTCTTATCTTATAGAATAAATGGTATTATGAAGGAATAATTATCCATCCAAAAATGCTCAAATCATTTAACACATGTCTTAAAATTACAAACTCTATAAGTATTAAAAAATAATAGTTAAATAAAAAAAACGTTCCGAATGAAGTAGGAAAATACTTGGGTATTGTTTTTGTATTGGTTTTATAATGATGTGTACTTTTTTGTGTCCGACATCACCTTTAGAAGCAGTGAAATATGGTTCGATTTTAAACTCTGATGGTAGTTTCTGGTAGCGAATTGGATCTAGTCGGGGGGTCAAAATCGAATAAATCACAGTAGATATTTTTCAAAAAATAAAAATAAGAAAAATCCTGAATATCAACTTGAAACCAGCTTTTGATAAAATCAGTTTTATTATTTTGTAATACCTAAAAAATATAATTATGAATAAATAATGTATTATTGAATTCAAATTTAACACATGCATTACCGTGATGGAGAGTTCCACTTGATACCTATTATAAACTACTATAGACCAGATTTTATATTTTTATTATAAGAAAACCATGCACCTTATATATATATGCAATTTCACTTGGTGCCTAGTTTAAATATTTATAAGTGGATATAAAAGCATTTACTTATTTTGAATCAGTTGATATCTCGTAATTCATTTCAAACTTGCTGCTTTATTTTATTTTTCAATTTATAATCACAATTCACAAACCTATACTATATTGCTATTTAGTACTTTTTTGTTTAGATTAATTATAAAACCAAGTTAGGAAAGATCATTCTGCAAGTGTGCTTATTACCTTCTTCTAAACTTATTTTTAAGCAACACAATAAACTATAGTTCTATATTATCAATTTATAAATAATTATTCCTTAAATTTTTATTATGGGCAATTTATGAATTTACTATTAATAGAACCGCGGTTATCAAATCTGAATACAAACAATCGTACCTAACTAATAACTATATACTGGTAACTAACGGACGGACGGACGGACGGATATAATGGAGATATAAGGTGTTTTAAACTTATGATGAACCTAAAATGTTTAGTAAAGTGTGAGGTAGGTGTACCTAAAGAAATAAACACAACAAAAATGGTAAATATTTTCTGATGTCATAATATTTATTAATATTATATTTATTTATAATCTGATCGTATTAAAAATATCTTAATGTATATATTATTGATGAGATATTTAAAACGAGGTTACAATGCTCATCTATGACATTCAATTTCGATTTCTATAACATGAAATCTAATTTAATGCCCGTATAATTGAATGTATAGCGTAACATTAAATGTCGGTCACTGTATAAGTGAGAGTACCTACTACCTACCTACCTAGTTTCCATGTAATTCGATAATACGCGGCCACCTGCAATAGATAAACCTATGCTGTTAAAACTACTACGCTGCATGTTATTATTATTGGGCTCTCAAACCTCACTATATTCATTTTAGGTTGTTCTTAAATGTAATTTAGTATTTTGTAACAATATAAAATAAGTAATGTTGCTACAACTATAATAAATTAACAAAGATAATAATACAATAAAACAGGATTCTTTCTTAGAGATAAATTTATTACAGAAAAAATCAGGTTAATAGTTTGTTAATTTTTATTATACCTATCAATATCAATAAATATACTACCACTTATTAGTATGATTTTAAAAATAAGAAAATCAAAAATATAATATTACGTAAATAGTGAATACTTATTATTAACACATTTATATTTTTACAATAAACTTAGATTAGTATTGTCAGTAGAGCAATATTTCCCAAACTATGGTCCCCAAACTCGTCTGTAAATATTTAAATGATTAATATTAATAACCACTGAGTAGGATATTATGGCACGTAGTCACAATCTAAACAACGTTGTTTTTATTCCTAGCTTACTGATTGGTTTCAAAAACTGAAACAGAAGACTAGGGATCACGTGATACTTTATTTACAACTTGCAAGTTTTTGTATAATTAATTGAAATACATTAAATTTAATTTTATACAATTATACAGCAATATATTTTACCTGATATGTTTTTATTTTCAACAATATAATAACAAATTATTGCAACTAATTTTTTTAACATACCGAGTTAATCAACAATTGAACGAATTGTCCTGACAGGGAAAAAATATAAAAAGGGATTCCCGACCATTTCGTTATTGTATGGCAATTTGTGAGTATCCTGCAGAGTTTGATAGGACATTTAACTTTCGTATACCATATATATTTTTCAATATCTTTTTTTTTTAATGATAAAACACAGTAGATAAGTTATAAGTAAATTCGCAACGATAAATTAAATACACTATACACAACACAAGAATTTAAAATTGAACATTTATTATCAATATATATTAAAAAATTGATTTGTGTTGTTTATGGCGATTTTAGGTACTAGCTATTTTTTTAGAAAAGTTGAGCTAAGACAACGTTATATTCTTACAAATGTTAAAAATAAATCATAAATAACCAACTAATGAATATATTTGACGAAAACTTGATAATTTCTGATTGTTAAACTCAATCCTAGAATAGTTTTTTAATTAGTAGGTATTTGATTGCTGCATTCAAACTCGAATACACTCTATATAGGGACTAACTTAACTTCTGTATACCACTGGAATATTATTTGATCATACAAAAAAATTACCCAAATATCCAGATATTTATAAAAATATATTATATAATGCACATATTTTAAAATGACAAAGTAATTAAAAATTAGAAATGCTGTGTAAATTATACTGCGTGATTTTATCAATTTTGTTTTTATAAATAACTAAAAATATTATATCCCTACTTAAAAACTTATTGCTTATGATTTTTACTTATTTTTTTAATTTAAAGAAAATCTCTGTTTTTACATAAGTCTTTCTCACAAATCACAAGAAGTGATAATAATTGATAATATTATAAAAAAAACAATTTATGTTAATGATTATGAAATCTTTTCTATCATTAAATTAACAAATAAATTATTAGTCTTAAATATTTAAAAATAAACAAACTATTAAACATAATATTATCGCCCTTTGCGAGACAATATTAAATGCCATACAGTAATGATTTTTTCCCCATTTCGTTAAATTAAGCGTGTTAGCCAAGTTACTGGATATTAACGATTTACACACACAATATATTTTATTTTCTAGTGTCTATATGTTGGATTCCAATGATTTACGATAAACCAATCTGCAATCATTCGTAAAGCGCATTTAGAAACAACAGCAGATAAGTTAGACAGTATATTTCTCAAATAGAATCTTGTCCAAGATAAAATGGGTTGCTGGTTATCATTACTATGTCCCGGGTGTAGGGGAGGTTGAATAAGATATTTGATAGCCGCCTATTATCCGGCCACCTAGATAGTCGTAATTTCTTAATAGCTGAACCGATTGAAAACCAACAAGAACTGACCAGAAAAGAAATAAAAACTTTCCGCTCCGCATATAGAGAAAAATATTGCGCCTATTGTGTATAACAATATTAGTGATTAGTGTTAGTGCTTTCGTTTTTGAATTTGAGTCACAAATAAAATAACAACTAACTAATGTAATTGATAATAATTATAATAATAATTTTTATTTTATATCGTTATATAACAGTTTGAATTTATAAAATTTAAAAAAATATATACATAAAAAAATAAATTATAAATTTATCTAATCGATTGTATTTCCTATACAATTGCATAATATAATATAATGTTAACCGTTTAGTGTAAAGGAAAGAACATCATATTATTTGAGATAGTTTTAAGTCAGTACTAAAATAATGTTTAATACCTTTATTTAAACAGATGTCTCACTATTTTTATCCTTTATCTATTAGATTCATATTTAATACGTTTATACTAAGTTTAAAAAAAAGTCGATTAAAATATAGTTTTCATGAGTACAATCAGGTTATTTAATATTTTAAATACTAAAGAATTATTAAGTAATTTCATGTTAGATAACTGTGATTTAAGTTAGTTTATTATAGTTTTAGCATATTATACAGTATAGTTATATTATTAAATAAATATACAAACATTAGTATTTATTAAAAATATATTTTTATTGGGTATTCAATTGAAATAAATATTTTTTCAATATTTATCTCACGGGAATATCATAATTTTTGTAAATTATAGATTCTAAAATATTTTAATAATATTTCTTAAATTGTGTATTGTGTTATATTTGTTGTTAATATTGAATTTGTTTATTTATGTCTTATGTGAAACAGGCATTATGAAACTCAGCGTCACCTCATTTCGAGCTCACTCATCAGCTCAGAAAAAAATATTAAAATATCAAAATCAGCTCAACTACGTCACAACTCATTGTCCTATTGTACCAAGTATAAATTCTCAATCCTCATCGGTAAGTTTTCATTCAAGTTATATGAACAATGTAATGATTTGCATTCAAATTTTTGTATAAAATAGATGTGTAAGGTTAATTAGTACCCGATCATTAATTTGATAATCCTGAGTTGTTAAATTGAAAAAAAATTATACCTAGATTATGATAAACCACTGGTGAATAAATATAGTAGTTTAATGGATCGAAGGTATGTTTAATTATTGTTAATACAAAGCCAGTGAATAATGGTTCATCAATACAAATATGAAATTAATTTAACAGAATAATATTTATGAACTGTTTCTATCAACACTATAAAACACACTAAATATAATCGTCAAAATCACAATAGAATCAATATAAAAAGTTTTTGTTTTAATTTTTACCTGGAGTAAATTTATAACAAAGTCATTGGATATATTTTTTTTATACTTTATACTGCATTATACACTTTGTAGGTTAAATTGAAAATTCATTGTTTCACATATCTTTATAACTATTAATTATTATTACGTTAATCGTATAGTATTGGCACTAGTACCAAATGTAGCTTAGGATTACTCATATAATCTTTAATTATTCTGATAATTTTTTTATGAGAAATAAGAAAATATTTAAAGCAGTATTTGTTTTTGAAGAAGATTATTACAAAATCCACTTATATGGTTATGCTTATAGCTTACCTATAGGTACAACTATAATGATATTTATCTAAAAAACTCACAGTATTAACAATTATTATATAATTGTGTAGGTATACCAAGCAATATTGCAACTATTCATTTTATGTTCAAGTATTTGTTTAGCGTATAAATGTCAATCCCAGAATAATAATCATTTAGAGCCGATTCACACACAAAGTCACCAGTGGTCGTGGTGAAACTGCAATTTTACTTTGTGCTGTCGTCGCTGAAAGAATTAATAAAAAAAAAAAAACAATTAAATTATTTACTTGGTGAAAGAAATAATAGTTATATCAAGCCATTATAAAATAGTGTCTTAGAAGATAAATGTGATAAACTGCAAACGACTAAGATACGAACTGCCTTGACCACCTGACTTTGACTTTTTATTTTTTAATTAAATGTATACCTACATAAAAAATATAAAATACACATTTGTTCAAACTGTAAAAAGGCACCTGTAAATATTAGATAATGTTTGCATCAATTTAATTCCTTCTTTAAGTCGATTGCAAAGACCAAATGTATTTATTTAAATTAATTATTAAATATTATGTGATTTATTCAGTAATTTTGTTCTATAATATAAGTTGATATAATAACTTGATTAACCTTAATGCATGCAGTTCAAGAGATGTAATATAAATTATAAGCATAATTTTAAAATTTAAAATATATAGACGTAGACACTTTTCATGTGCATAGTATAATAGAATTAAAAATAAAAATAGTACATTCCTGTTTGGCTCGGAATTTAAAAATCTTAAAAAAGATATTGTCATAAAATAAAAAATAAGACTGTTGTTTAGTTTTTACACTTTAATAAAAAAAGCACATTGTTATTCTAGATATTTTGTACAGGTAAAATATACATTTATGAAACGTAGCAAAATAAAAACAAAACTGAAATAAATAAAACAAATATGTAAAAAAAACTATATTTAATCTAACAGTGGTTAAGATATTTTGAAAATTAATTCATGTACATATGATTATGTATTATTAGTTATTATTAGATATTACATTTATTAGTCTTAAAATGTCCAAGATATTTTTTTTATAATTACAGAAAAATAAGTAATATTAAAATTTCCCTAATCTAATTTTATTATGAAGTGACGTGTTATAAAAAATACATTTCCATAAAATCAAAAAATTCCTTACTTCGTCATACCAAAATCTAAAATTTAATGATTAGCTAGCCTTGAATTTGTGAAAAAGTATTATGCTATTTAAAATGATTTTACTAGTACTTAATTTACAAATAATTTAATAATGCTTAAATTTATATAGATTAGACAGCCTTGAATCTCTAATATAATTAACTTGTACATATAAATATTGGTTATGATAAATTAAAAAAAAAACCTAACTCTGCGACAAACGATTTGTATTGTATTTTGTTCCATTTTAAGTTGATATTATGACAATAATACTTACAAACGATATCCAACTTGTTAAAAGCTGATAAATATTCGAGATAATTTATATTTTTGATGTCAGCAAAATGTCCCGCATATTTGTATTGATATATTGCATATTTAATGCAAAATATTTTGGTATTAGTTTTTGGGCAATACATCAAATATACGTAAGACATATATGTATTTACATTACATGTACACACACGCACACACATATATGTGTAATATGTGTATAATTGATGCACAAATGTCTATGTGTATAATCTATATTTTTACAACAATCTTTAACAATTTTAGCTGTTTTCGCGGTTACATCGTTATTTGACTATTGTATTAAGAATAATTTTAAATGTTCGCTAACACAGTAATAAAAAGAATAAAGAGTTTTATATTTTGAACTTAAAATGTTGGACCTCCAATACTTCAAAATTTGTTTTCAGTTACAGCCTTGATAATATTACAATAGTTTAAGAAACATTCTCACACGTTATCGACGGTTTCAGGACTAACTGTTACCATGCATATTATGGTCTAATTTTTATAATATCTTTTTTGAAACATGGCTACTAGTTATGTATAGCCTTTTATTATTATGTCAAAAATTATTTTTGTTTACTATTTTAATCTATAATTTAAAATTATAGGTATTCTATTTAAATGCATATAATATATGTTTTGTTTATAAAATATTTTATTATCCTATATAATTTTCTTTTGATTTGGAACCTTGTATGTAAATTATTTTTCTTTCTGGTGATTGATGATTAATGATTGTACTTCTCATTGAAAATGTGCCCAGATTAACTTTCTTCATTGTATTGGTGGGCTGATAATATTTGGTCTATTTTGGGTCCACTCTTTTTTTATTCAGGTTGTTCAGGTTTTTTCAGGCTGTTTATTTGCTATTTGATTGTATAGACTTACCGTTTAAAAACAATGATTTCTTGTTCTCATCTACTGTTACTTATGCATGCTGCAATACAAATTAATTACATTTATTGTTTAATATTTGTATATTTTTGCTTGGTTTTCATAATAATGGTAAATAAGTTTGATGGCAAACAAAATACTATGATTTTTATTAGATTTTAAAATAAAAAATTCCATAATTTACAGATATCTATAAATTGCATTAAATATTTTCCATGAGTCCTCCTCAATTAAAAAAAAAAATATTGGGGTCTATACAAACTAAATCATAAATTGGGTACTATGCACCTATAGTTATAAATATGCATTTTAAACGAGTCAATAGCCTAAAACTAAAATTCAAATACCTAGTGTACTTTAAAAATCATAGACCATTAAAAAGTTAACTATACGAGTAGGGATTGATTAAATAGGTTATTATTTTAGTAGACATTAAAACCTACTGTCCATATTTATGTATAAAAATATTATGCGGTAGGCATTTTGAAGGTGGAACATGTTTAGTAGACCATTTATCTTTACACCTTTTCAACATTCAGCAAAGTATAGAAGTTTATCCATAGTAATAATAACCGAAAATACCAAGCTATTTTGTCTACTTTATTTTTATATGAATCTACATATTGTAATCCCTTACGGTGTTTTATGGATATTTTTTTTAACTAAATGTTATTTTGAATGTATAATATTACCTTTTTAGTATCCACTGCCTCTTGTCACCTCGCTTCGTTCTTCAAGATTAACCCATGTGACTTATGTACACGTATATAATATGTGTGTCAGAAAAGAATATAATAAATTATCTCTAGTGGGTTACATCAGTTCCGTTTCAGATTAATAGCACACTAGTCGGTTGGCCTCACTTTCAAAATTATTATTAACTCAAAGCTTTTTATATTATTTTGGTTTTTCATTTGTAAGATTTATGGTTTAGAAACACTCAAAACAATACTGTGCACGGCTAACTTGTAGATTTGACTACTTCATTAGTGAATACGTGTTATTACGATTTTAATTTATAATCTTTCATGTTATTACTATATTATAATTTTTAAATTTAATTCAAGACCTATACTGCCAAGAGTTATGACCATAGTAAGATAATAAAAGATTGGATAAGTCGGAGGCATGGATCATCTATATGCTAAATAAATGCAAGTGAGTCTCTATAAAGGATCGGAGTAGGGTAAATTATCAACTCATATGATCTTACCATAAATCATAATAACTCACTTCAGCTTCTGAAATTGAAATCATGAAAAATGTAGCTACAGTGGATTATACTTCTATCAATTTCTTCATTAACTATAACTATGGTTATAATACACCTATGAATGCCTATTACCAGTATTACCATTGATTATAGTGAACTATACATGTATGCTGTCTATACAATTGCATTGTAATTATTCGGCAATAAACAATGATAATAATTTTGTCAATATTGAATTAATACCAATATATTTTAATATAGAATATATAGAAGATAATGTACAAGAAACACTTATTACTCCAATCGCATAAAATCACATTCTTTATAACAAGAACGTCAGATGTTCGGCTAATGTTGATATTATCCGGTTAATGTGTACATTAGCTAAACCCCTTGGATATTGTGTACATTATGTATTTTTGCTTTCAATATTCAGACCTTTTTTGGATAAGATAACTTTAACCACTGATGTGTAGAAGATGGTTCTTTGTACCTAACAAAGTAAATGTGACATGGGCCATGGAATCGTTTTTCTTATTAAGTTTTATTTTTTTTAGGAAATGTTTGGCATCAATTTATATTGATTATCATAGCCGTGAATATTTTGGGGGCTCAAAATAGACTTTGGATCTGAAAATTGATATGGATTATTGAACACAATATATGTAAAGTAAAAATTTATGAAGGGGTATCAATCTTCCCTAATTCCCTTTTAACAGTTTTAACACATAGTTTTATCAATGTATACATATTATAAGTCAATATTTA